ATATTTCTTGACTTAACATGGTCATCCTTTGGACTCCCGCTTCGGGTGCAACCCTCAGGTAATTCGGCCCAGCCCATATGGAAGGGTAAATATCACAACTGCATCGTCAGACAGCCCTGGTGACACAGCCACGAAGGTCCATACGTGTAGAATGCAAGGAGTCCAGTGAAAATCTACCCTGTAAATACCGGCTAAAGCCACAAGCAATAGTTTGAATTTTGGTGACAATGATGCTCCGTGTTCCTTTTCACTAAATGAACAGATCTCATTCACACATGACTCGTTTTTCTCAGGTGTGATAAAATTGCGATATTTCTCACCCTGAATTCTTCGCATGCCTCCACTGAACTCAAACCTGACGCGTTCAGCCAGACCAAATGCTCTTCGAGGCTATCTCATGAGACCCGTGACTTGTTTTCCACGATTAGGGATGGTTAAAACAAGCCGGTCGAATATCCGTCGCCCGATGCCCAGTCGATTTCGAGGGGGTGAATTGCGACAATGCTTACACATTACACTGGATAAAAGTGTGAATAGACCATACCGAAAGTTTCTACTCAGTATGGTTCCTATCTGGTGAATCATCCTGTATAGAGTGGAGCTGCGCTGTCATTAGAGCTCATCAGTAGCGTGCATCCATTAGTCCCGTATGGATCCCCTGCATGGCACGTGTGAGTGATCACTGGGCTAACCTGCCCACTGCGCGGGTGACCAGAACGCCTAACCTCCGGGTTCAAATGGAGTTCATGTGAAATAGTTAGTTATTTCTTTGGACCCAATATCAACGAAGGGAGACAGAGTCAACTCTAATAGAAAACCTTCCATCAAGACAGATCCACCTACCATACAAGTTTGTGGGTACTGTACCAATAAAATCTTCTAGATGATTGATTTTAATTGGTATTTAACTCACAGGTACCTTTGAGTTGTGTTTCGGGATTTATGTAATTGATTGCTAAAACACATAGAATGATTAGAACATTATTCTGTTTCCTTGTCATTAATTATTTTTCTCATAATCGATCCTCAAAGACACGATTAACGAAGCTCATGATGATACATGAGTTGGAACCCATGCAGCATACATGAACATACTAGCCTCATATTTATTTCAAAGCTGCAATATTTTAATCTATGCCTATTTATTCGAGAGGACATCAGACACGAAGAACAGTCGCCCTTCTTATAACTTCAGGCAGAAAATATAACAAGTCAAACCATTCTGAATGGAATACAGAATTTTTGGAAACGTGGAATTTTGAAATGCAACGGATGCGATGATCAGCCTGGGGACGCGGATGCAATTCAGTCATTCGGTTACCCTGAACTGTCCTTGAGCATCAATGTACCTGGTCGGTTTTCTTCCTCCGTAAATCTTTCTTGCTGAAGAAATCATCTTGGTTATGTGACCTTTTAAGCTTCTGTTTACATCATGGTGTCTGCACAATCCAGGGACTGATAGGCCGAATTTAAGAGCCCCTCTGATACGTTGCCTTTGCTTCATTTGTATGCAGAAGATTCTTGGATGTCCCATGCGTATTGGGTAAACTGACAGCAGAGAAAACTCATTCAAGGAGTCCCGCACCTCCATGTTGACTTTGAAGGTGAATTTTCAAGTTTGTTGTAGTATATTTTACTTTCTTTATGGCGAGAGGTTTGACCTGATAACAACTGATCATTCATCATTTACTGTGCATCGTATGGGAAAATATTTATAATACTTGGATTGACCACAATAAACGCCTTCATGCAACAGTGATCATTCATTAGCCAGAAAGAACTTCCATGATGCTCCCACACCAAATGTTTTGTAATTTTGAGCCGTTTACTTTGAACTACTACAGTTTCTCATCGTGAAACACAAGATCGCGCGAATGCGAAAAGTGATCAAAGAAGAGGAAAGGTAATTCAAAGGTAGATGAAGTTCGGAACAAATGTTCCTTACCTATAGCTATCGACATTGTAAGCTGAAATGCATTTCCAAATCGAGGGTGATGTCGCACGAGTTTGATTACTACCTATATGCGTATGCGCATCTAGGCACCATGCTTGTTTTCAAGCCGGTGGTATATATATATATATGCGCATCTAGGCAGCTCCCCCGTTTGATCAGCATTAGTCACTCGTCGTAACCGTGTGCATTCCTCAGATCGTGCTGCTTGAAAATGGCAATGGATTAACTGGCAAAGACAACGAAAGCATCTGAATTCGGCCGATGTTCACGGTATGATAAAACTAATTCTACCATTCCTACTACGTTATAGAACATTCGTGCATTTCAAGCTATGAAACATTGGTTAAATATGTATGTCTTTTTGATGTTTGAGATAGAAGCGTTTCCGAGATTCCGTAATTGAGCGCTTTTCATCTGGACGTGAAGTCGAAGAATGCCTTTTCACATTGTGTTCATGGATACAGATTCCAGATTGGAAGCTATCAGCCGATAAGTAGCATAGCAAGAATGTGGCTGAACAATTGGATCGGTAATGCCAAGGTTAGGCGTCCAGATGATCCCAGTCACACGCACACGCACACTTCTTCAAGCACTGAACCAGGAAACATTGTGACGGCTGGGGCAGATCACTGAACTGGCTACGTAGTCGTGAGAAGTTTATCGAGGCAGATAGTAGTTAGAATTTCAGAGTTAGATTACGACCTGGCATGAAGCACCGATAACCTCCACTATTGGACAAAGTCACACAAACCGTGTTTGTGATTATTTCCATCAGGGATTAACGCCAAAAGTTAAAGACGTTGCATGAGTTCACTTGGTGTGTGGAACGTTGGCCTTTGTGCATCTTTTCCAGTTTCGCCACTAATCGTTTTTTCCGCACTGTTCGAGTTTATCTTTGACTCACAGCTCTCCAAACCCGATGAACAGAAAAACCGGATCAGTCATTGGGCGTAAAACACTTTTGTTGAACCCAGTGTGATACTTTACCGTAAATACCAGAGCTAATGCAATGAATTACCTCCCAGGTACTCCCCCCCCCCAGTCTACGTTCGTACAAAAGTCCTTTGTAACTAGGGTATTCACCATGCGTTGGAACGTAGATTTTGATTATTATTGTTATTATATTATTATTACATTATTATTATTCCACTAACAAAATCTAAAGATGTAAGTAATATCTTCATCCGCAGAAAATCCTCGAGAACCCACCTATGCTTCTTCAGTATTGCATCAAAAATGTATAAGTGATTTGCCTGATTTAATAAACGAGAATCCCTTAGATATGGAATTTAAACAGAAATATGCTCAAATATGGGTTCGACTGCATGAGGCTTTTTATTTATCCAATCGATGGAACAGCGCACCCGGTATTCAATCCATCTGTTGAAAACCCGGTTTCACTTGTGAATACATTCTAGAACCTGGGCACGATTGGAGATATTTAAAACCCGGAAACAAATAGTGCCACTGGTGAAATCGGTAGTACTCGGTTCGGCGTAACGCTTCATTATGCGGTGCACTTCACCGCCTGTAAATCGCCATGCTTTCCAGTAGCGTTTTCCAGGATCTATCCGCTATCATATCTTTCTCTATCTGTTCCTGTAGCGTTTTGTTCTTCATAGGAAACAGATACATTTTAATACCGTTGTTTGGGTTACACAGCTTTGTAACCTTCAAATATTCTATCCAGAAGTTGGTTGACGAAGAGTTAGATGGAGGAGGAGGAGGCAGAGGAGACGGAAAGACAAGGATTTCTACACTTACCGAGGCCAGTGTTTCTGAAACATCCAAATCCGGTTGCGAACCACTTGGAGCAGGTTGAGACAAACTGAGCGCATCGTTGGAACTTCGTGATTGATCTGTTCCGATAAGCGCCCGACCCCAGACCCAGTACAACGTGCTAAACAAATCGTTTAGGCAGCTCTGACTTTTGGCCTGATTGCGTAGCTGGGATTTTTGCATCAGGCCCTCCAAATAGTCCGCCTGTATGGCGGCGGGACAGAACACACTGATCTGCCTATTCGTCCAAGGTCGAGGCTGATTCCAGTGCTCAGCGACCAGCGGGGCCAATAGAATTCCGGCGCGAGCGAATATCCAGGCGTAAATCGGTTCACACTCTGATATAATGAAATGGTGGAACAGTTCTTCGGATGTGACAAGCTTATCCTTGTAATACAACCGCTAATGACGAAACGTAGCTTATTTTTCGTGTTTGAATCATAAAATACCAACTCCATAGCAAAACGTCATCTCCATGTGACAATCCAATTTGTATGTTATAACCCCGAAATGAGAATAAAATTCCATGGTAACCTGGGATCAGATAGTGTTGTCTGCGCTAGTACACCATTCATTCTACAGGGCTCCGGTAGCCAAATAATTCGGGATTCGGACCTGTGTTCAGAAGGGTCAATCAATTGAAGACATATTAATTCCAAAGGTTTAGTTTAACGTCAGCATCATGCAGGAGAACATTTATCTGTCACCGATGTTGAAGCTTAGGGCCTTTTCACCTAGAACGGTGATACACTTATTAGCATTTCGTTACTCAGTAGGATTTTGTCCCTAGGTCTTTTCCGTTACTTGAAAATGAGAATTAGGATGGATCTGATACACTCGGACACAGTGATCCAGATGTGTGTGTGTGCCCTTTGCTGGGACTTCGGATGGACTGTGACTTAACGGAGAATTGAGATGAATTGAATCTGCATGGGTTTGGACACTCACACACATGCACAAATTGATTTGGCCTCGTAGCTGGAAACCGATGTGTCCCCAACCCAGCTTACTCGTCGTCAACTGAAGTGGAGACCAGGTTTCGAGAGCGAGAACGAGTGAATTGCACCACCGGACGAGTGTTCACAAAATGACGAGGACGGAAATTAAGGCTATTGGTTGATCTTGTCCCTATATTTTTTTGCAAATCCACTGGTTACCGGACATGGCTTGGTAACCGTACAGACTGAGCTACGAGTGGATAAGAAGCGCAGATAGATGTTTAGTGACCTTTAAAATCGGATATTTATGGCATGCTTAATGTGAAATCTTGAAGATCACTCCAGTTTGTTGCAGAAAATCGTAAGCCGGCCAGAGCTGGGCGCTCTATTTTCTACACAACGAGTGCAAACGTTACTGTAGTGTTTCAAATTGAGTCCAAATGCTGGAGGCTAGAGAGGAACTGCGCTGGGTGTGTGAGATGTGATGGTGTATAGGTGAAATGGAAACAGACCGATCACCTACCGTGTGAATGAATGGATAGTATGCTAGTACGTGTGAGGTCTCGGGTTCGCACTGTTAACGAGATTTAACCAGGTAGAAACAGCTATCCAGTTCACGCTTCGTTTGCGCTGTGAACGACCAAATTCAACATGTAATCGAATGAAATGTTCCACTCTTTTCATAATACTGGTTGAGTTGATAAGAAGGCATTTTACGAGGGTTCGGCTGTCAATAAGTGACGAAGCGTGCAATTACGCAACTAACTTGAAGGACATGGGAAATTAGTGTCGGCAGTGAAGGTTGGTCTAGCAGCATTGCACAAGACCATGGAAAGTGATTTATAATCTGGTGATCATGCACGACTCCGTTGTTCTTAATTTAAGGTCGTGAATAAATCACCAACAAAGAAGTGTACTTGGCGGTGTTGAGAAAACACCATGGACTGGCGTCTTATAGTAAGAAATTTGCACCATTGCTAAAGTTACACAAAGTGGATTAGTACATTCTAGGTTATAGATAAGATACAAAAAGTCTTGTCATACGTCATAGTGCGAGCACCCAAGGCAAGAGAAACTGCTGGTCCATTGTGGAATCTAGCTACCCAAGCTCCTGGATATAGAACTTGTGATCTACATCAAATCATAGTGGGATTAAGGTATTATTGAGCCGGGTGACAATGAGCCGTCTAATACCAAAATTGGGTAGTGGTGGTAGCTCCACCAGGATCTCTTAGCCATANATCTTTATCTGTCGGCCACGGACCCATTTCTACCCTCGTTTTGCTTGAGTGTCTTCGTGGTACTTGAGCATACTGCCTCCCGGATCATTTATTAACCAACAAATCAACCGACAGGGTGTTGGAAACGACACGTTAACTACCATAAACAACGCTCGATGTGAATCGGGACTTTTGATCTGGAAAAACCGTGCTCACCCTCATAGGGCGTACTCCGACCGTCCGAACCGACTTCCTCGTGTGTCATTTTCATCTGAGGAAAGGAACAAGGGTGACAGAGAAAGAGAGAGAACCAAATATGATTTCAAGTGTAGTCGTCAGGTCATGCTGCTGATACACAAAAGGGACCACAAATGTTATGACTACAATTCTGATCAGTCGGCAGTGATCATCTAAGGCTACTGATATCAGACACACACGCACACACAATCGTACATATGTACACATTATTCTCCAACTAATTTGAGTCTCTTGCTTATTTCTGAACCGCTTTGTTCACATTGAAACCCATCCGATCCGGAAAAAAACGCTCTTTCCATTTTTTCACGATTGGAACAGGCGGTCCTTTTTCTCTTGAATTTTTGCATGTTTCTCAAAAAACTCAAATCTCACTTGTTCAACCAAATCAAGTGTGCATTGTCATTGTCTTTTAAGTTCATCTTGAAAAAACTATGACTATGGTTTGTTTTTCACGATCAGTAAAATGTGAAAAAACGACCCCCTTCCTTCACCAGATGCGTAGACAATTCAGAGGATGAGGGGGGTGGCTTTTTGAGTACGATCATGCTCGGCCATTGGAGGAAAGTGCAAACCAACAATAGTTTTGGATGTTTTAACAAAACAGCTTATTCCAGAAATGTTGAATCAACTGAAAGTGCCCGTTGAGAGAAATGTTCGACCGCAACACAAGATTAGATGTCCAGTCAAGAGACAGTGCTTTTTGCCAAAGGGTATTTCTTTTAAAAACTTGGGTGAACCTGCATCACTTGCAGTCTTCAGGGTAATCATGTGATCCCCTTTGATCGATCGCTTTTGGGTGTGGCAAACTTCAGATCGTCAGCACCAAATTTTGTTGTATATAAACAAACAAGTACCAAGTGACTGACTTCGCTGACTTCCATAGTAATGGTTCGAAACCGTTGTTCACAGTAGTTTTACAGTCGGTCAGATTACGCTATATCGCGTGACCAGACACAGACCATTCATAGATAAGAAAAATTTTGATAGGTAAGTAAGCTAGAAAGGGGACGAAACGGAGTGAGATAGTGTCGCAGCATCACGACAACTGGCACATTCACAAGCGTACACATAGTTGACTGAGGTGCACCACATTAGGGACACGTTCCATTATCCCGACCCCCTCTCCCGATCTCCAATTTCCATCTCTTTTGTTCCACGGAATGAATGTAGAGTAGGAGATACAGTAGTATTTAGTCCTGTCATGCATGGCACATAGTCCTCAATCCGCTATACAGTATCAAACAGGCAGAGGGCATAAATCACAAACGAGGCATTGTCAAAGTGACAGCAAGCAGTACCGGACGGGAGTGGCACCAGTAGGACATTGATGGAAATAGCGAAGTTTGACCAAGTCTAAAGAATGCAACACAGATTAGTGCGTGGGGGGTGAACGGAGTTTGAGCCAGGGTTCAAACAGGAACCGGAAGAAAAGCTGTCTGTTCAAGCTAAGCAGAGAATTCATCGATGTAATCAGTTGCACCATATTTTCACTTTTACACTCCGCGAAAGGCGCCGTTTGTTCGCTTTTTGTCGTGGTTTTACCAGATAACTATTTTGTTTCTATGTGAAGCACAACTAGCACTATCGGGTGTAATATCTTGACTGGTCCATTAATCATCTTCATTGTGAAAGTAATGAATGGGGATCAAGTTTCAATTGTCAAAAGAATTCAGTGTGCATAGAACCAAGTAAGTGAACTGAAACGGTTTTAAAGAAGCACTTTAAATATGGTGTCAGCAAGATCTATCGAGGAGCGAATTACAGACCGCCTCGAGAGGATACACTAAACTGCTTAGCTGATCAGTATGCAATTGTCCAACAACGATCTTTGTAAACTGGTTGCCTATCGCAAGTTCTCGGGGATTCAGGTTCGGCTCGAAACATTACAAACTTCATTACTGTATTTGGCCAACTGTGTTTTGATAGCTTTTGATAGCCAAGGTAATTCTTTATACGCATCCCAGCACCCTTGACCCCTTGAATTTCATAAAAGTGTTTGCCTTCTAGGTTCGAAATGCATCCGGTCAAGTGAAAAACAAAATGCCCTGATACCGAAAAGGAACAATGCCACACGCGATCGAGTGTTATGCCGTGCACATCCGTGCACAGCTAACTTCCGCTTCATGTGAAGTGAACAACTCACACGTAAATAATTGCTGATTTGTGCATCCATTGCACTCCATCAGCTCTCTCTCTCTCTCTCTATATATATATCCGGGGTATAACGACCCCCGCTGCGATACGATCGGACATCATTATGTTTAAATGCAGGTCTAATTAGGTAGCACACGTGATCCGAAGTGACTGCGTGTCCGGGCATACCTCAACAGTTGTCAGCTGAAATACTAGATAGCTGGTTGAGATAATCCTATCAATGTGGTTGGAACCTTCTGAAACGAATCTGGCACCGTGTTAGTCTTGTAAACCCTGAAACCCTAACCTCGTTACCAGCTAAATTCATGCACACTGTTCTTTTGAGCTCATTCACTTTGGGAAGAATTTCAATTTACAATCATGGTACACGCAGTAGTTGTTAGGAGTGAGTAGTCAGGCCAGTCTCAACACCCCATAATTCTTCCTGTACCTGTGTCATTTCCATGGTACTTATTTGCAAATCGCCTGTACCCGAGTATCCTCTTAACGTGGTTCAATTGTCTGCACTGACCACACGCGCGTATGCTATACACCAACTGTAATTTAGAAATTGCTATAGTACAGACGCTTGCTAACATACTACTGGGATGGGTCAGAGAGGCATGATGATATATATACATGTATATATATATATATATATATATATATATATCGCTGCCAATTTAATCACTTGTATTTGCAGACAAATAACAGATGGACCAAAGTGTGATATATTCACAGCCATTGAAAGGGGAACGGGGATAGAGAAGAAGTTGGCCAACCACTGGCAGACAGAGAGAGAGAGAAATAAAGTGACCGGTCCTTATCCGCCATTATTGTACACCCTATTTAGATTACTGTGGATAACTAGAGTGATAAATTCGTGGTGGAAATGAAGTGTGAGCTTAAAAGCTGGGCAGCACTGAACAACTGTTTGACCTGATCGGGTCTCATCAGCAGTGCGAATCCATTGACCAAACTGGGATCGAACCCAGGGCCTCACAGGTAGAACGCAAGCATACTACCCATGCCTCATTTGCACGACGAATTCATCATCTAATAACTAGAGTGCTTTAGCACATGTGAGTGGTTTGGAATCGATGAAGCTGATGGTGCTCTACATATCCGTAAACGAGTCTCTCGAGCCATTGCAGTGATTTTCTTCTCAAACCTGTTGCATCCCCGATAACCTTAGATTGTTTGGTATGGTTAACGATGTCACCACTGACAAGTTAGCCTTTACCATTTATTGACGCTACAGTGAAATGTGTTCAACCGTTCGCTTACGTAGTTCTCTCTCATTTCTCCGTTCTGTCAATAAGAGAATTGTCATTTGAATTGGTAACTGCAACTGGATTTGGTGTGAGTAGCGGTACTTTCATGGATCAGTATTCCGAAGGTCGAGAAACGATAAATGGTTGGACTGTGAGGTAAATGAATCGGACCGTTTAGGCCAAATGCCTGTTGAATATTCAACAGGTGTCGTTGCCCTTGATCGTGGTTGAAGAATTACTCACATTTTCGGTGCCCCTGTTGTCCTCACTTCCTTTAACCCCGCCCGAGAGTGCTTTCAGTGAAATGCATTTAGATACCTCTTTCCTTTGAAATGTTTCACAACATTTGCACAAATTATTTTAGCTCATTCCCTGTTTCTCTCTTAACTCGACCATTATTTTCTGGCGCACAGATTGACTTCGCAAATCGACTGTGAGTTTGTAAAGTCGTATCGTGTCACCGCGTTAGCCTCAATTGCAGATGTGGTACAAGGACAACCACCTCTGCAGTGTTGTGAACTGACAACAGCCGGGCAAATTCCATTCACCTTCCCCATCACCCCCCCTCCCATGAGGCCGCATGGGGTAGAATTAAAATGAACAATCTGTCGTGTGACCCCTTTGATACCTACGATTTTATGTACGTATGTCTGTGTTATATCGGGGCACCAGGCTCAATAGAGCACTTGTGCATATACCCTGTTTCGGGACGCTCATTCAGTCCAGTCAACCCCAATCGGTCCACGATACACTCTCAACGTGACCCGACTCCTCCCCTCCCACCCCCCCACCTCCCGAGTCCGTCCTAGTTTGCACAATCCGTCCGAACATCCTGATGGCCGATCGGTTCGGAGTCATAATTCACCACAGCAACACAAACACAGCTGGAATTAACGTTAATGACGAGTAGGGGAGATGAAAAATGTACGCAGTCAAATAATTGCAACTACATAGGTACACAAACACGCAGCAATTGAACACCATCATTTCGCTCGGAAGTTCCCGATTTCGGGACACCCTCTTTGGGGAGGAGGAGAAGTGGTCCACAAACGCACGCACGCGCGCGCGCACACACACACACCTACATGTGTACGCACGATACACTGCACAGGTCAGTGACCCCGAAATTATGAACAAGCGACCAGAAAGATAGACCCCTTGAGAGTTCATTGTGACTACAATTCCTTCACGGTCGAAATGAGCGCGCACACACACAAGCGCACACGCACATAGAACATCCGAGGATGATAATGATGATGATCTATCGTGCATGCGTGCAAGAACGTCAAACCCTCAAACCGGTTGAGATGAACCGTTCATAAATAGTCCGCGGTGTATCATCAATCGAACAGCAGGGTTCACAAAGCTGTTTTGCCGGAACGGGGCTTTCGATGTTGATTCATCATTTGGATGATATGCCCCTTGCTGTATTCGATGTCCCACGTACACGCTCCCCCTCCTTTCACGAATCGATGTGATGAGCAAACTGTCACCCAGATCCAGAATGTGCACGGGTGTTATGACACTTTGATGGTCAATTCATTGTTTCCTCCGGTCGTAGGTTCAACCGGACTGTCGGGTAGTATCATCAATAGACTGTACAATCTATATTGCAATGCACCGACACGAATAGGAGCGGAGAACACATTCACCGAAGGAATTCCGTAAGATTACATCGGTATCGCTTTTTGGGAGTGAAAAGTATAGGATAAGAGTGACCACATCAAACGTTACTACTGTAGTAAAGAGTTACTCATTTATTTGGGCAGTGGATGACCCTCCTGGAATGAAATCCATCGGGACTGCATTGTAATGGATTCAGTGTTCCAGCAATGAAGCACGTGAGTGAACGATTTGGGAGGAGATGCAGGGACAATTATTGTAATCGAGTTTCTAGTTTTATCTCTTTTAGTCCGATCACATAATCATCATGTTTTGTTTCTACTCCAAACATTTCCCCAGAAAATCTCTATACCATTTTCAATTTTAGGTGTCCGAATACCAACATTAGATGCCACTACTACTACTGTTATAGTTCAAAAAGGCGGTACTGGTCGAGGATATTCGCATATTAAGGATTACAGATGGGGGATCAATAATTTGGCATGCATAACACAAAAGCCTAATCAGAAACGTGCCATCGCAATTCTTCGCGATACACAGGCTAATATATAGAGCAGTCGGTAGTTATTCTTTCAGACACTTCATTTGGCCCTCAGTGTTGTATTTTTGATCATTGAAAGTTACCTACTGCTCACAAGTGAGTGGTATCTCACAACACTACCACCACTACTACTACCACTATCGGTAATTTTTTAACCAACCCTCTTGATTATGCGATAGTTGACGAGGACAATACCGATCTGGTCAAGTGAATTACATGTCAAAAAGCATGAAAACTTCGATTCAGCCTTGACTTCATCTGGAATTACTTTAGCCTTGATGATACCCTAGTGTTATCGGATAGATGCGAAAAACACGAAACGTTCTACGCATAAAATAAGCAATACCGGAATGACTGCAAAAAACTGACTTAGAAACACGATTACTTATAGATATTAGGCCGCTAATTACGCATCTTCAGAACAAACACTTCTCACATGACACAAGCATCATTAGCGTCGATTGTGAATAAGAACTTTGTCGATGATGAATTTGTTCGTTTTTTTATTTTCCTCATCTACCACATCCGGTGCAAGGGTTTGCTGACTGATTCCTGAATGCAACTGTATGTGTATGATCAATGGGTCAAATTATTGCACATCATGATCTTGGTCCGTTTCAAATATTACGATTGTCTATCGTTCAATCAAATCCCAAATAGGTCAGTTGCGCACCTGCAGTTCGTTTTAGCAGCTCATCAATCTTTTGTATGAAATTTGTATGAAAAAATTGTAGATTTGTTGCTAGCGATTTTC